AAGGGCTGCTACGAATCCTCGACCGCATCTGGCGCTATGCCACTAACCCATAAATCTTTGGAGGGTTCTATTATGACTTAAACAGACCTTGGGTTCAGCGGCTGCCAAACCACTCGTTCCGCCCGCGTCTGACCGCCCAAAGCAATGCTCAAATGTTCAAAGATATTGCGTACCAACGACGGTCTCCACGCCAACCCTGCATACCGGGTACCGATGACACAGGCGCTACCCTCGCTGGCTACTTTGAGGCCCTATTCAACTCTACAAACCCGTACGTGGTTCCACCGGATACCGAACCCTCTCCTGATGTCACTTCCACCATACGCCCCGACGATGTAATGGAGGCAATACTACGCTATCCCAATAAGGGATCTGGCCCCGACGGGATCCACATCCTCCTCCTGAAGGCCGCAGTGGAGCGCTCTACCGAACGCCGGACATTGGGACGCCCCGATGCCAATAGCCCACTGATTAGACTCCTTGCCGAAGCATTCACTGAGCTACTGAAGGCGGGTACCTTCCCCGCAGCCCTGAACTGTAGCCTCCTAACAGCGCACCCAAAGAAAGCCGATGCAGATATCACCTCTCCCGCCGACTTCCGCCCCATCACGCTTACGCAAATAGTCAGACACATCTTTGAAAAGTGATTTCTTAATCTGATTACGAGCCACCCCGGCTCTGCTACCCATGCTACCCAAGCTGGCTTCAAATCACGGTACTCCTGTTATACCCAAGCACTTGCCGCCATGGAATCTGATACACAGTCAGAAGAGGAGTGGAACGACGTCTGTCTGGACATAACCAAGGCATACGACAAGGTCGCTCTCCCACGCCTATGGGTACTTCTGCGTCACGCTGGAATGCCCGAAAACTGGATCAACTGCCTCCGCGCGCTGTTTGAGAGGGTCCCTACCCGAGTGACATACCGCTGCACGCTCTCGTCTCTATTCCTTAGAACGAATGGCATCCTACAAGGCTCAATCGTCGGCCCCCAGCTCTTTATTATCTACATGGATTCCTTAGCTTTCACGCTAGCACAATTTCGGCCCAAGCTCCTCCGTTCTTATTTATTTGTCGATGACACACGGATCCAAGCCCCTCGATCGGTTTCGCTTCAGCCCTTCTTAGATGACATTGATGCGTGGGGACGCAAATCTGGCCTCGAACAGGGTGTCATTAAACCCCGAGTACGATCTACCGACTTGCGACACGCGGCGCCAACCCTCCGTATAAATGGTGAGCTTATCACGCCGACGCTTGCAGACGCACCTTGGAACACACGTTACCTTCCCCTGAAACTGGCGCCCACACATGCCGAACCGAAACACTCCAAATGCCTGGGGCTCCCACTCTCTCACGGAGTACCAGGAATCAACCTCGTTAGACATATGGAATCCCTGGTTGCAGCATTGTCACTGGGTATCGCCTCTTTCCGCGCTTATGGTTTCCATGGCTTCAGCTGGCGACACCCCCGCAACCTACTGGTGATGTTCAAAATATTCATCCTATCCACGGCTACATATGGGCTGAACATTATTGCCTGGACTCCGCCTATATGGAAGGATGCGTTGGACCCCTGTAAACTTCGATGGAAATTACTAGGTTTCAAACTATATTAAACTAAAATACAATTTAGTCAGTTAGGATTTAGCAGTGGTAGCTTGTGTAAGAATGATCGGGACTGCCTCTTGTTAAGAGCCTAAATATCCTCGATCACACAGGGCGTACCTCTAGCTGTTCTTTATTGAATAATTTTCACTAGAAGTACTAAGTGTTCATGACCACATGCCTAATTTGTAGATAGACATAATAGCGTAAGTCACGTTAATACATTAGCTGATATAAACGAAGTTCCATCTGAAGAAAAGTTATAAAAAAGAAAAAGACTTATTGGATTTTGGAGATTGGCGGGAGGACCAAAATCTATAAGTAGTAGTTCGGAGATTATAAAATTTAGTTTATAATATCCTACATCTACTAATGTCTCAAATAGGTCCAAGTAGATGAGTCATACCAAATACTCAGGCTATTGGAGCCATCAAAGTGCATTTAGAACACTTTGGAAATATTGGAAAAAGAGCTTGTATTAAATTATTTAAAAT